CGAATTGCACCCATCGAAGAAGACTACTTGAAAAGTCTTGAAAACATAACTACATTTGTGGTTGATTGTAATACTGGTAGGTAACTAAATAGTAAACAAAAATACCTTTTTGTGCTTTTAAAACCAATCATGTAACAAAATGTGTCAAAATGTACATTTATTAAATACCTATATTATTCATATATTTATTTTTAGTTATTACTGAGAATGATGGTGGTTCTACTCCAAGCACACCATTGCAATCTCGAGCTGGAGATAAGATGGAGATAATACAAAAAAAAGGAACTGTGCTGATAAACAAGGGTAATTAATTATCACCATAATTTATAATTATATATATTTATAGCAGTTTTTTAATTATATTGTTTGTTTTAGATTTAACTGACAATGACCATGGCCCTGCTACAAGTGGCATTAATACCACACCGTCATCAAAATCAGAAGTCAGAGAAAGTTTAAGCAGGATAGACATTTTAAGAAAAAGGAAGGCATCTGCTCTCTTTAACAAAGGTACCTAAATTATTATTTCAAGTCATTCAGTTTCATATCTTATTGCGAATTCACAATTGGCTCATATTATATTATATTTTTATTTATTCCAGAAAATAATACTGCTGAAGAACTTTCAACTAAGAAAAGTAAGACAGCAAATGAGAGTTTCAAAATATTGGCAGAAGAGAAGTTGGAGCTAGTTAAATTACAAAAACTGTCGCTAAAAATGGAAATAGAGCATAAACAAAAAATTTATGAAATAGAGTTGGATAATTTAATGAAAAAAAAGGAATTTAATGAAGAAATGTATAAAAAAGAACTTTTACTTAAGGATTTAGAAATAAAAAAGAAACAATCAGAACTGTAATATTTTTGTTTTTATTTTTTTTTACAATGATGCAAAATATCCCTCTATTAGTAGTCTTCGTTGCAAATTAGCACTTCCTCTTCCAAACCGTTCCGGTGCAACATCATCATCCCTACCTTCCATAATAACAGGAAACTCTTGATCTTCAGGGGGTATGTTTTCCTTTCGTAATATAGCTAAATTATGCAGTACAGCTGTTGCTATGATTATGCCAGGTACTCTGTGAAGGTGAATACTTATACCCCTGGATAATATAGGGAATCTTCTCTTCCATATACCAAATGCCCGTTCAACCACATTCCTCGTCTTTATTTGTGACTCTTGGTAAAGTGTCTCTCCTCGTGTATTCACATTATTTTCTGACAGAGGTGTCATCATAAAGTTAGTTTGGGCATAGCCACTGTCACCTAACAACAATTTTTCATTATATTTGCCCTGCAAAAAATTGCGTTTTAAAGCACAGTTATCCCAAATGTTGGAATCATGTGCTGATCCATGCCACCTTGCCACAACATCTAAAAACATAAGGTTTGCAGCAGCTACACATTGGGTGTTTATTGAAAAATATCCTTTCCTATTTCTATATATTTCAGCGTTATCACCACCTGGAGATAATATTCTCACATGAGTGCAATCTAACGCACCAATTACTCTAGGGAACTTTGCAATTCTATAAAAACCATATGCTGTTTTATTTTGCTCTTCTGTTGTGCTTGGAAATTTTATATACATCTTATACAATAATGCAATAGCATGAGTAACACGATGCACTATTCTACAAGCTGTGCTTTCGTGTACACCAATCATGTCACCACAAGTTATTAGCTGACTTCCTGTCGCATAAAATCTCAGCGTACATAAAAGTTGGTTCATAGGAGTGACTGATTTGATCCTGCAAAACAAACAAATTAGTTAATTAGCTACCTACTTATCTATTTATTGAATATTCATTAATAATATATCCTTACTTGTTGCTGGTTATTAAATGTGGGGCTATTTGCTGTAACAAAATTATAGTGGTTTCTTTCGTTAGACGAAACCTTCTGAAGAATTTGTCGTCCGAATACATTCCAAATAAGTCTGCTCTCTCAAACAATTCCCTCGGTCTGTTGATATATTCTATTAGCTCCTCATCGTCGTCAGAATACAATTCCCACAAATCCATCTTACAAACTTCCCACCGAACTCTTTATATTCTTTTATAAAATAATAGAAAATTTCTATAACCTCAAAATGATGACGCGCGATTGCTACTAAACGTATTTAGCGACGCTAAATAGCCATCTTTGGGTATTTAACTTTGACAGTTCGTTAAACGTGATTAGTGCCTAAATTTTTGTTGTGCAAGACGCTAATTATATTTAGCAGACTAAATGCGTTTAAGTCGCTCTTAAACTGTATTTAACGACGATGCGCAAGCCGCCCTAAGTCAGCTAATACCGTATCTGTATACCAAATTTCATCAAAATCCGTTTAGTAGTTTCGGCGTGATTGACCGACAAACATCCAAACAAAGAAACTTTCACATTTATAATATTAATAGGATTGTATAAGTTTTTTATTTGTGGGTAGTGGGTATCTTTGATAAAGTTGGCTTGATTTAATTTCACATTGGTGTAGTTTATTTCATAGTATAGACAAATTTTAACATTTTATTTAGTTTGGTCTTTTTATTTGAAACCAGTCTCAACGAAAACAACTAGAACCATATGATGACAGAGATAGAATAGGCTTACTTGGGGTCGATTCTGGAAAAAATTAAATTCGAATTCATTCATGTGTCCGAATACACATTATTTAGTGAAGAAATTCTATTGATTACATTTTTCGTATTAAAATACAAAACTAAATTGATTGATAATACGTGTCTCAGATCACTTCACTTATGCCACGAAACATTATTACCAATTCAATAATATTAATAATAAAATCTTTATTTGCAAAAATATGGTTTTATAAGTTGTTGTCTAGATTGAGCTTATGCCGCTTTTTGAAGTGAAATTATTACATGTTAGGGGGCGTCCATAAATTACGTGAGATGTTTAAGGGGGGGAGGGGGTCGAGGCAAATCTCATCTAATCTTACGTTGGAGAGAGGGGGGGTCTCGGCAAATATCACGCAATTTTTTTTCTGATTGAAACAAAAAAAAATACTATTTTGGTCCATTTAATCTAGATTGTACATGCTTAAGATTTAATCTTAAGCGTAATCGTATACGATTAAGATCATTCACTAATTCGTTCGAAAGAAAATAATTTCATTCATATTTCGACGCTATACATCGACTGAATGTCAAACCACCATATTTGTAGGGCTCGAACGATACTTTCGATACCGAGTAGGTATCGATACTTTCAAAAGCGATACTCGATACTACAACAAGGCAAATACTCGCAAGTACTCATCAAATTGCATTTTGAAAAATCTCACGTGAGATTGGGGGATGGGGGAGGGGGTTGAATAAAATCTCACGATATCTCACCAGAGGGGGAGGGAGGGACAGAAAATTTAAAAAAACACCTCACGTAATTTATGGACGCCCCCTTACTGAACAATAACGTTGTTTAACCATTTCTTTATTTATAGTAAATCAATAATTGACTATAAGACAGAATTTATGAAGTTGTTATTATGTGAATTTAATATCTTTGGTGTTGTCATAACCAAATACGAAGTCGACATTATAAAAAGTTTTATTTTTGAGAAGTTGACATTATGAGCTGAAACGTTAATTCGTACGAGTACTGATTGCAATGCAACCTTTGCCTGTATTGTTCTTAAGCACAAATCAGACTTGAGAATGTGCAAAATAGTAAGTTTTCTAAAAGAAACATGATAAGAAAGTAACGTAATGTTGAGTAAACATTTTGATGTAGATTTTCCATTGATTAGTGTTAAATTGTTGTGTGTACAGTTTCACCGATTCTTCGTAATGGTGATCGAGTTGTATGAGTCATTGTACAGTTATTCTTTTCCAATAATGAAAAAGGTTGAAGCTCAAATGCTTGTGAATCATTCTTTCATAAGACAAAGATATGGTGCTTGTTGTAGACGTAATTACTATAATGATAAGCCAAATGGGCCAGACTGATATGACAGAACAAATGTTATCATTGTAAATTTTCATATACGTTATTTATATAGGTATTATTTTATATACATTTCTAGTTTAATTGCTCTAATATTGATTAGGACTGATATTATTATCAATTTTATATATATATATAACATATATGTTATTGGAATTCATATATTATTATAAAGTATTTTCGTCTTCATCGAGATTGAAATACGCTCACTAGCAGCGGCTTTCCACCAGCGGTTTCGTACGTGTGGACCCTAAGGCACTGTTTTTTGGGATAAAAAGTAGCTTATATATTATAATCTAAGCTGAGAGTTATCTTTACATCACAATTGATTAAAATTCGTTTAGTAGTTGTCACTTGAAAGAGTAACAAACGTTCACCCTTAAAAACTTGCGATTATAATATTAGTAGGATACGATAATATTATCAGATATTTAATAATCGTTCTCATATTTAGTTACAATCAGTTTTCAACCCATAGAAATAAATTCATTCAGCTCCTCACTCTTAATACGATGCTTTAGAGTCTAATTTAGCGCGATAATAAATGCGACAATTTGTTTATTGAGATGCTAGGGGAACTAACAAGTTCATGGTCATTTACATTGACAATTTTAATGTTGGATGTAAATGTTTATCTTGCTAGATGATTGTAATGAAACAACCGGATTAAAGCTACAATTATAACTAAGACACTTCTAATGATACCTCTTGATTATTTGTCCAGTTATGATGAACATTCTTATTCATACCGACTAAAATCATAACCCTCCTTTTCTCTTCGCCGTAGTCGGGTAAAAATATGCATTCATACAATATTATCTTACATACTAGTAAAAATATGCATTCATACAATATTATCTTACATATAGTTAGTTGATATATTAGATATACATATATGTCTTTAGTGTTGATTCCAAAGTATAAAAAAAGAAAAACAGATGAAATGAATCATGAACCCATCTTAAGACACCTTTGCGAAAGTTACTCTACTTCTACATCGGATGCAGAACGCTTTCAATTTTATAAATGTTATTTCTCATTCTCTCTATTAGGTATTAGCAGTTAGATGCGTTTATGGCAATTATCCTTCTCGTCTCCTCGACCTGTGGGAATTGTACGACGAATGCAACGGCTCTGAGAACGACAATCCTGCTATACTGCCCGATGATCAGCAGTATATAGTGCTGGAGCTAGCAAACGCCGGTCAAGATTTGGAGAGTTTCGAGTTCAATAACGCTGAGCAGGCGCATGCTCTGTTTTTGCAGGTAAGATCGACTTTATTGTATTTGATTGATTTTGAATTAACATATTGGTATTTTTCTTAGTTTTTTTTTAAATTAATTCACGAGTCCCAAGTACCGGGTACATCTCTGACGCTGTGATATTTTAAAGAATTTTACTTAAACAGGATGAGCTGGTTAAGTTTATTTTTCTTAGTTAACGTTAGCAATGCTTTAAGCTGTGATTTTTGCAAGTCTATACAAAAATTTTTAATTAGCCAGTTTGTTAAATAATTTAGAAAACTTTCCGATAGTGATAAGCTCTCTTTTTTCTATAGATATAGCCATTGACATCATAAAAGAATAATTATTAATTGAAAACTAAAGTAATAGGTACTAAAACTTATATATTAACATAGTAAACGGCATAAGGGGCCGTCCAATAATCACGTGATATTTTTTCAGCATTTTTGAACCTCCCTCCCCCTTGATGATACATGGTGAGGTTTAAGACTAAAAAAAAATCACGTGTATTTTTTTGTACCTACAAAGAGTCGTTAATGACGCCGCTTTTCGGTTTAGTAATCGTGATTTTTGATGAACCCCTTTCGCCTCTTTCGAGCCTCGCATGATTAATGCGCGACCCCCAATATGCTTGATAGAAAGAGAGATTTCGTGTGTGAGTTGATATATAATTATGCAATTAACTTCTGAAGTAACTTAAACTCATATTATGACTAAGTGATGTATAAAGCAAGAATTATATAGTTTCAATGAAATTTGTTTAATGATAGAAATATATAGGGTGTGTCAAAGGGATTTGGAGCAGTTCTGTATATAAGAGGTGTGTCCTCTTTGTTCTAAATTAATTCGTAAATAAAAAAAATATGATTTCCTAACAGCAGTGCTCATTGCAGTGTCGTATCGAAACAGTGTGACAAATGTGAAAGACATTTTTTCTCCTATACATAATGTTATGGATAGATTATGTTTTGGTTGCAAATTATGCGTTTATTTAATGAGATGTATACTTAAAATTATCAGTTTTACAGTAAATAAGGAATGAACTATAGATTATTTAGTGATAAGTTATTCATTTTAAGTTGTAATTATTGGTTGTAATGTCATTTTGTTTAGTTGTGGCCATGTGAACTGTGGATGAAGGCCGGTAAAAGGTCAACTTAGTATTGCGGCTTATAGCTGTCATTTGTAGGAAGATAGTGCCTACTTCGCACAAGGCTATTGTTGTATCTAGGGTTGTCAGTTAGTTAGTTTATTTGAAACGAAATTTTGACTTACAATTAAATTTGTTTCTTTTTTTAAAACAAGCTTTTGTTGAATGAGAGATCTTGTATAAACAAATGTTTTGACCCACACTGACTTGAAAAGGCATGTTAAATAAAAGCTAACTATTATCATGTATCTCATTAGTATATCAAAATTATTTTAGATTGTCATGACATTAACAAAAAATTGCGAACGACCGGGAATCGAACCCGGGACCTCAGAGTTGGTGACACCTTGAAACCAATGCTACAAGGGTCATATTGGAGGACTCTTAATAGTCCTACGTACATTTTTTTTAAACCGTACTAACGAGAAATCGTGACTTTAATTGGAATGTCTTTGTTTGTATATAAATACGTTTTTTTTGTTCAATCATCTGGTTGCCTCGTAAATGTTTAGTTGGCAACCCCCACAGTGTGACGCACACGGTTCGTTTACTCACAATGCCCACGTGCCAATAATCCTCGTAATCACCAACGCAGTACTACTTCCAGGAAGTGACTGGATGGTTCACTCGTCTCCCTCTAATATAGAATCTGATGTCATGGGAACGTTGCCAAAAAGTTCGCTCGCCAAAATGTACGTTATTGAGAATAATGCACCATACTTTCTGTTTTATCGAAATGTTATTTCTTTAATCCATCCGTCTGGTGTTATATGAAGAATATATATTAGATTTTAATCGAATGAAAATCATTATATTTTTTTTTTACTGAAAAAAGTTTTTATTGCAATTATTTTTTCATTAAGAAAAAAATATTTGTGCTATATAAAAATCATTACCAGTCTTTCAATGTCCCCGTTGCTGGGTTCGTCTTCCCTATGATGGTATCGGATAGGGAGAATTGACCATGACCCACCATGCAGGCCTTGTGTGAATTGTAGTCGATTGGTGGGTGTGAAATTTTTGGTCATTCATCCTCGCAGACCGAGCGCGCTAACCACTGCCCTCTGTAGCTCTTCATACATTAAAAGTACCCATTTAATACTTCACATATTCTAATTACAAAAATATATGAAGTTTAGAAATCAATATTATTTTATCATAAAAAAGTAGACGAAAAACAATAATTAAAAAAAAAGAAATACGTTATTCTCATTTTAATTGTACAATGATTTCAGACTTTAGGTAACGAAAGTGAAGTGTTTGTTTTTCAGTCTTTAAATTCTAATAAGGTAAAGCTTTGTTTTATCTTATTTGCTCAGACCAAACTGAGCTTATTTGGGTAACATATTGGCTACGTATTCTAAAACATCTAGGGCACTATATGACCTGAATATCTGCGCACGATTTATTTTGACGTATAGCCTTGAATAACGTAAATGTGCTCTATGGCAGGGGTCGTCAACCTTGTGTGACGAACGAGCCTACAATTTAAAAATACCTATAACAGTTTTCAAACAGCCACTAATATTTTATTAGTTTGCATGCATTGAAACTAATGCACAGTGCATTTTTTTTTTAAATCACCTACGGGAGGATACGCGGGCGAAGACGCTAGAAGCTTAAACAAACAAACTTGTTTTACGATAAAAAGGTTCAGTCCAACGAATTGAGTTTAGATAGTTCAAAATAGTTGTAACACAAAATTCAAGAGACAAGACTTAATTAATATTAATTAGTAATGAATAGGTATGTAGTTTATATTACTATACGCAAGTACAAATACATTACCCACAAAATAGTTTTATATTCATCTTAATTTCCGTCGTAATGTTTGGTTTAATTAACCTCATTAACAGTTTAGGAAATCGATTAGTTCTAAATGGAATATAATAACCTAACAGTTTAATATTGAATAATCTATTGTTTGTTGCAATGCAACGTTGTGAGTACAGTTAGGAGTCGTGCAAAGAATTGAGGTCACTTTGTCGTGTACTTACATATCTTAGTATTGTGACCAATCAGCGGACAGCAAGATCATGCGCATCGTTCATTCGTGACGTGTCTGTGACGTCAGCAGACGCAGCCTTACAATGATATAACGAATGTAATCGTTAGCTTCCCGCTTTGACGGAATAGTTGGTGCACTCAATGACATCTAACCACGAAATGTTGAACTCCAGCTATTGATTCTGAACTCTATTTGAAACGTGATAAGGTTTTTAATCGTTTGATGATATTTGACGTTGTTACATAGCTAAATAAAGTGTCCAATAACCCGGCTCAGCTATACCGCAATAAAATCATTAATTGACTCAAATTTAAAGCATATTGTTTGCGTTAATTAAAAACAATAAAATGTCGTGTAACCGGGGGAACTATTTATGTACTAATTAGGTGTTTTGCCGTGACGTCGCCCGCGTATATCATAGTCTTTTTCACCCACATATGATGTAGCTTTCTGTAGGTGAAAGAATATAAAAAATCGGACTTGATAGTTTCCGAGCCCATTCAATGCAAATTTACAGATTTTGATCACCATTCTTATATAACTATGTTTATATTTTTCGCATTTTTCATTCGTTTTTAATCACTTGATAGTATAAAACAAAGTCGCTTCCTCTGTCCCTATATCCTTAAGTATGCTTAAATCTTTAAAACTACGCAACGGATTTTGATGCGGTTTTTATTTCATAGATAGGTGGATTCAAAAGGAAGGTTTTTATGTATAATACAAGACCACGCGGGCAAAGCCGCTGGCGGAAAGCTAGTTTTTAATACGTTGAAATGTTTCCGCCCATTCTGATTATATGATTTTGAAATTCCTGTTTAACTTCCTTAGGGATTTGAAATCCTTCTTAATGAACCTCTTATGTCGTGATAACAGTTTTATCGTGTCTAATTTCAGCTCGTTCGGTCCAGTAGTTTGTGCTGTGCGTTGATAGATCAGTCAGTCAATCACCTTTGCCTTTTATATATGTTAGAAGATTAAAATAATAATAGCTTTGAGCACATCCATTAAATATATGTTCTAACAATTAAGTGGCACGTTGCCTCGATAAGATAACAGAACACAAATGTCATTCTATCTAACTATATTTTCAAAGTCTGAATAGATGACTTTGAAAATATAGATAGATATAACTTAATTTTTAACTTAAAATCGATATAGCTACTCGATTTGAGTATACAAGTAATTATACAATTCTTTCCCAAATCTTTGCATGAACTATAAAAAAGTCCTTTCGAATTATGTTTTGTTTTCTCCTTTCGTGGGCCTGCTGGTAGAAATTTCAAATTGGAATAAGCAGTGCCGTTGTACTAATGTCTTTTATAATTGTTTATGTAAATATGTATGTATAAAATGCATAAATAAATGTAAAATTAAATCGGTGAAACATTCACCCGTGTATATTTAGGAGAATCATTCCAAGTTACAAGGGAAAGAAATAATAATAATATACTTTATTGCACATAACAAAACAAAAAACAAGTTACAGAGAATCAGAAAAAAGTAAACAAAAGACGGCCTTATTGCTAAGCAGCAATCTCTACTAGGCAACTTATTGAGGAAAAAAAAAGTGTGAAGATTAATGGGGAAGGATACAAGATATATTATATAACATATTTTATTTATTAAGATAAAAACGATATATATAAAGAAAGAAAGTGTCCCCTTTTTCTTTTCTCTTGTCTCTTTACTGTTGTCGGGCTTTATCGAGAAAATTTTTAGGATTTCAATATTTGGTCAGTTCACATTAATTTCTGTTTAAATTTTTAACTCGATTTCGAGCTCGCGGTATAGATACGTTGGGTATTGAAAGTTTTCATGGTATAGTGATCAACTTCCATACAAACTCTCATACTTATTTAAAACTTTTTTACTTTTTTTAATGCATTAAGATATTTTATTTATTTCTCATAAGAATTTACATAATTCACGTACCTGATGAATTGACAAAACGACTTGGTGATTGCGAGAGGCGCATAAATTACTTCTTACAATTAAAAACTATGCGTACAGCACCTTCTATTAGATGAAGGCAAATTAACATTTATAATTACTTATTATATATAAGGGTTAATTTCGCGATTTAAACTGACATATGTCCTTTTTCCAAGGTCAATTCTATCTCTGAATATTTCCTTGAAATAAATTCTGTGACTTCAGTAGTGAAAGCGTTATGAATAGTTACTTGAGCTTTTATCGAGTGTGGAGTAAAAAAATATTTCTACTACATGTTCTAGTTAATAAATTTAACAGAAATAGCTAATCTAAAGACACAATTGAGATAATAATGTGCGCGCAGCCGTTTTCGGGTCATAACTCCAGACTTCAATGTTTGTTTTATAACTAATGTAACTAGAATAAGAGATAATTAAAACCGCACGTGACTATATCGTGCATATTGGCGTTTAATTGTATGATAAAATATTTTCTGTTCTGTGAGACTGTTGAAAATGTCGTCTACAGCTGTATATTAATAATAATAATAATTTATTTATTTAATTCTTTCCATTACAAAATTTAAATAATCTTAGGTCCCACAAAACTATATTAACAGTTTGACTGTGGTTGGGCTAGGAGTCTCGTTTTGAGTTACATGTAATGCTACTTGATTAGTATAATTTATTCATTTACATACATGTTAAGTACAATATGTGTTACAGGCTATTCATTAAATAGTTCTTTAGTAGGTTGGAAAATATTTTTAGGTTACTTTCATGCCTAATATTGTCAGGTAAGCTATTTAATATATATGGGACTCTTTTGTTTAGAGTTCTATCACCATAATAATTGTTAACTCTGGGAACTACATATTTACCTTCTGCAATTGCTCTAGTATTATGTTTATGCGACACCAATGGGTGACGCTCCCGACTACTATGGTTATTTATGGCAAGTATATATTTAAGTTTTAAACTAACTGGTAGAATTTTACAAATTTGAAATAACTTTTTATAATCTCCCTTACAGCTATTCTTAGTTTTTTTATTAACGAGTAGTTTCAAAAAGCGCAATTGTAATGATTCTAGTTTCTGTATATTAGTATAAAATGTAAGACCATATGTGTCGATTGCGTACCCCAATATGGAATCGACTAGAGACATATATAAACATTTTAATGTATAGTTAAAATGTTATAAAGAAAGGAATGCGTTACATTTACAGTTGAGCGTATATAACTTACTTTACGTAGTACGGGTGTAAACAGTAAACGAAAATAAACACTTTTTTCTGGTAGTAGTTATTTACGATATTTATTTTATTTAAATTAATTATGAAAAAAAAAAAACACTTATATCATACTCGTTGTCGCGTGACTGCAAACAGCGCGTGACGTCACGGTCCTCTAATTAATTTTACATTGACATAGAACTAATTATAGCAGCTGCAACCGGAGATTTCAAAGAAAACCAAAATTTACTTAATACTAATTTAATGAAATAAAATTACATTATATTTCTTAATAACTACTCTATATGTGAACTCTATTACTCTATTACTGTGTATAAGTGAACTCTATTACTCGGATTGCCTCCACGTCCGTTGTTGCTCCACGTGCCGCTGCATCAGCAGTTTTGGTAATCTTTCGGTCACTCCAACAATGGGACCGTGTGCACAATGTTATATGTCAGCAGATTCCTTTAGTGTGTGTGACCCGACTATAACAAACTGTGCATAGAATAATGTTTGTTGGTGTTATTGTTTATGTTAGTTTCTGAGGCTTGTGACGTCACATCGACGCCATGCAAAGCTTAACGTTTTAGCGGGAAATTTAGAACATTAATTTCATTTTTAGATTTTAAAATTAATATAGGAGAGATATTTATTTTTAATATATTTCAAGGATATCTATACAATAAATATATTGAAAAAATCCTCTACACAAGTAATTTATATTGTATGATATAAATTAGTTTATAATTAATTAAAAATACGCCAAAAGAGGCATCAAGGCTTCAATAAAATTCGTGATCAAAATTTTCTAGTAGCTGATTTATCGGTAAATTTATCGTACAAGATTATCTATAAACTCCCCCTAGTTTTGAAAAATATAATGATCGTATCAGATAAATATAAAAAAAAAATGTTATTACAAATCTTTGTAAGAACAGAATAGTCCGTTATTTGCGTGTGTGATAGTCCTCCACAGATCGCAAATCATTCGAATTGAATTGTATCGAGAATAATTAAAAAAAATACTGTATATAAAAACTTATGTTATTATTGCTCGGAACTAATTCGTTTCACACTGGATGATATCTTATGCCTTGGGTTTGGTTGCACCAACTTACTTTACAATAACAAACATGTTAGGTTATACAAATTAAGAGTTAGATGACGTCATAACTCTAAATGGCTGAAGCTTTGATTAACATTAGTTTTACAATGCCAAGAAACAGTATTTACAGCCTAAAGAAAGGGGATGATACAACACATTCCGCAGTCTGATAAAGTTAGCGTGACAGTTCTCGTCAAATTTGACTTAAACCTTAACTTTAACTACGCTATTATGTTGCTATCCAGCCTAAAGATGACAAATGATTCTGCTTTCACAATCCAAGCATGCAACACCCAAAATGGTCTTATTTATTCCCCACAAATATATTAATAATACAGTTGATACATTTTTTACCCTTAACGCAGATGTTCATTGTTGCATAACACGCATCATAAAGTCTCATTTATCGCGGCTAATCGCATGTCAGGTTTTATTGTAGCAAGTCGAGATATACAGCCGTCTCGTTCTTATGTAAGGGATCGAGCAAAATTTTATAACACCATTGTGCCGATCCATATTGTGTTGCGAATACAACTCGATATTTTGCAGAGCTCACTTATATAATTGTGCAGTTGCGTAAGTTTAGAAAGTATAATTTTTAGTTTTATACATCACTTAATATCTTGACTAGTTTTCTACTTTTATATTTTTTATTGAAAATCTAGTACCTATTAAATATACACGCAAATAAATTATGGCATTATTCTAAAGTATACAATTGCCTGAAAAAAATAAAAGTAAAAATTAAATGTTAAACAAAAATGGACAGACAGATTTCACATTTTTATAATCATCATAGAAAAATAACACAAATCATTTGGAGTGAAAGTTATTAGATGGTATTATTATATCAGCAAAAGTGTTTTGATCTCAAAAGAATGAACATTTAGATAGTTATTTATATGATTTACACTAACAAACATTAATAAAACTATATTTTAAAAAGGCTGTATTAACTGCATTTGTTTTATATTTGTTTGTTCTTTTTTTGTTCCTGTTTTGTTTTTCAGCGTATCACGAGTGCATGAGGCGATGGTCTCCACGGAAGATGAGTGAATTTCTAGTACAAGTTTACTAAATTATCTTGACTAGATTTTCACTTATCCTCTGCGGGGTACCACAGATGCTTTCGATGTTTTCAGTGTTGCCGCCACCGTTTGTGTTTTTGTACTATTATTTTGCATGCTTTTTTTTTTTCTAAATTAACAACATATCAAATGCTTTTTATAAATCAATTATTGATATTATATTAGATGAAAATATAAACAGGTCATTAAAATTGACTTTTGAAAAAGACATACCCTTAGGACAAGGCTGTATGGTCTACACAACTTTGCCTCAAAAAGGAGAGAAAAGAAAGCTTAACGTTGATATGTTGTTGATAGTGTGATATCGAAGTTTTATTTTTTCATGTGTTTGTTTCGTTTTAGTATTAGATTACCTAACGCGGTGTCTATCACTAAATTCGTACACGTCCGAATGATGACGAGGTCGGCGACCTTTGATTTCTAGAAAAACACTATGTTAAATTTCGCGTCGTGTTGATTTCAATTTGCCCCTGTTTGTTATGACGTCTGTTTATTTCAGTTTAGACGTAAATATTGTGTCATGTTGTCTGAAATGACAAAAATACGTCCCGTATTATTTCTATCGGTGATTTGGTAAAATTCAAATGAATTTGTGCCTGTTTTTTCCTCGAAATGTTTGTTGTTTATATAAACTTTAACAATACAGTATATAATCATTATGAACAATTGAATTGCCTTAGAATAAGTGTACATAGTTGTGAAATTTTAATGTGATCAGCTAGATTGTATCTGTGGCTCGTCTGTTTGGAATTTAGGAATTGTAAAGGCTTATTTTCATTGGTCAATTAGTCGCTATACAACATATACTAGAGATTATGAAATTCTATAGTCAGTAGCGCAGTCTTTACTTGGAGCAAAATCGGTTTTCCTAACATGTTATAAGAGTATCAATCAGGTTAGAAACTATTGCTATAGACCAATGAAAATGCGCCTACTGACTTATTTATATTGATCGATAGGTCCCTCATGCGGCGTTGGCGATTTCTGTGCCTCTTATGAATTAAGCCTATTAGAATCATTCGTATGTGGACCCTGTCGACCAATGCAAATGAGCCATTGCGTGATGGAGGATGATTGTTTCAAATATCCCCCACTAATTTCAAATGAATTCAAAGCCATTCTGTTTATCCAAACAATGGAACTATTTGTGTAACGAATCTTATTGTGTAAAGATGTAACAAACAACCTAATTTTTATGTTTATAGCAATATCTATACCGTATGAAAACACCAGTTTATTTTGCACGTTTTTTTTTATCAGCCGTCTAAAATTGTTGCCAATGACTGATAAATTATTCAAAGCAGTCAACGTACTTTCCTAATGGTAATTATGTTTTACGACAACAATTATTTAATATATGTATAAAATAATTATTTTTAGATCGCATTCGGTTTGGCAGTGGCGGAAGAAGCTTATCAATTCGAGCATCGCGATTTGCACTGGGGAAATGTTTTGATCGCGCCTACTGATCAGAAGGTGAGTTTGCAAATATAAATACTTTAAATTACATTATAATCAGAGGTTGGAATTAGGTAGAGTTATTTATGTACTTGCATCGAAATGTTGATATTAATGTGGACCTTCCCGGGATTTCTTTATTTCTTCTTTCTTTATTTCTTTCTTTCATTGATGTAAGTTTTGCAACGTCGTGCGTGCAGTAGTTTAAATTGTGTAAAAGTAAATAACTTTTGATTTAAAAAATCACGGGATTTTTTTCTGCTCTTTGAAATTAATCTCCGGATTTGAGGCATATCCACTTTATTCTTTCGCTGTATGAAATCAGTGTAAGTACATGAATAACTCTACCTAATTCCGACCACTGATTATAATAGATACTTTAATTATATCTCAGATCGGGTAGCTAAAGAACTAATACAACGAACGAAGGCACCACACGCGATCTCCGAGACAAACATAATAGAACAACCGCGTACTCGAAAATCTGATGATTCTGTCAAATTGAAGCCGTAAACGACCGGTCAGGCTGACAAATCAATTATCAGCATACCAATGTTTTCTATTAACCATTTTTATATTGCATATCCAATTGAGTATACCAAATTATGCAATAACAGCAAAAAATTATGTATGCACATAGTATGTCAATAAACATATTCTATTTTATTCTGATTGATCTATCCTATTCTTTACTAACTGTGATAATTCTGCTGACAGATCATTCAGGGCTTAATTTGGACACATATTAGGACTTTGTTTATGCAGCAGTTGCTGGTCGGCAATTGAACCAACTGGTTAATTGTCTAATTTCAAGATTTTCTAGGCACAGCGATTGTTATAGCTATTTATGACATTATAAAAGGTTTAGACAGATTGTGTTGTTGGGATTCGTTTGACATTTCTAATTTTAAGGCGCTATTGGCGCCGAATTGTATAGTAGTGTAAACTTCCCTTAATATTTTAATGTGATGCAAGCTCCTTATGAATTTTTAATAAGAAAACTTGACCTCATTTTATCTTGCAAGAGGAATATTTTCAATTTAAATGGGAATATGATTTTCCTGTTGTTTCTTTCATCCAAGGTCTGAATATTTGATTGAATGTTTATATTGAATGACGGATTCGGAACGATTTCGCTTCGCGGTTAAACAATAAATTAATTTTAGACCATATCATATTCGTTGCTTAGATTCCAAGTTAAGAAGTTAAAGCACTTGTATTAATCAAGTAAAAAGTCACTTAAAGAAATCACGTGTTTGAAGCTCATAAATGCTATAATATTTCATCTTAAGATATCTAAAATACAAAATACAATATTTCCGTATCTTATGAATGAAAACATTATATTATCTCGGACGTGTGTGTGTGTTTTTGACCATTGGAATGTATGAGGGTGGTTTGAAAAGTTCTAGGCCTAACCGAGATTTGCGGGTAATATTTAAACTCTATTAATCGTATGTCAAGTGCCATTGTATTGAGACAAGCGGAGAATATGTAGAAAAAGAAAACATGTTTTTATATATATTTTCTTTGTCTTCTTGGTCGTGCCGAGAACTTTTCAAACCCCTCGTATGGCGAGCGATATTTTGTCTAAATATGTTATAGCGTTTTAACCGACTTTTACGACTTTAATGGACAATCTATTATTATACCTATTACTATACTTATATTATACCTGGGTATCGTAGCTTCTTTGTGACGTAAAGGCAGGGGCGGACCTAAGGCATACCGGGCTTAAGTCCAGGGCCCCGTGGATACAAATTGCCCTCAACCTCCATACGCCGGTATAAATACGATACGGCACTTTTATTTTAGGTGCTATTGAAAACAGTTTCTTAACAAAAATTACGTTACTCCAGTAATTAATGAATCCACAAACTCAGAATCCGCCCCTGCGTAGGACTTCTCTTCTCTTCTCTTCGGACAGTGAACTGTCCGCTTAGCGGTCATAACCCACGTGAAGCGGCCCTGGGTGCTCTATAATATTGTCCAATGTGTGTGTATATATACAATCGTGCGGTGTGGTTCTGTCAGTTCGGTGTGTTCGTGTTGCGCGGGCGTGGGCACGTGGTGGCGCGGCGCGGCGTGGCGGCCACGATCATCGACTACTCGCTGTCGCGGCTGTCGCTGCCGCTGGCCGCCGGCGCGGAGCGGGTGGCGCTGTACAACGACCTCGCCGCCGACGAGTCGCTGTTCGAGGCCGTCGGCGACAGGCAGTTCGAGGTCTACCGGCTGATGCGGGACAAACTCGGGTCAGTTGCGTATACTGTCATTACTTGATTTTTGCACATGTCGCGACTTTACCTCTTAGACTGTAATAATAATAACAGGACAGGACAGTTGTTTTTTAAGTATTTTTCTTTGAGAATATTTTTCAGTATAGCATTGTGAATGCTTAATTGATCAAATATAATACTAATAATGATATTTGTATACCCGTAAAATCTTTACCAGCTTATTAATGTTGTCACTGATGAGACTAGAGCTTTTCCCATGGATGAAATCAAATAGAGAGATTGGCCTATGACCCACCACGCCGGTCCGGTGCGGTTTGGTGACTGTTAACGACTTAACGTACCTTCCGAAGCACGGAGGAGTTCTAGATAATTTAAAATTTTGGTCACCCATCCTATGACCGGCCACTGCGAAAATTGCTTAACAGTATCGCAGACCGGTCGAGCTTTTCCTTAAACTATGTGTTACCAGAATTGGCAATTTGACTGTTACGGGAAAAGTATTTTAAAACATTCCTATGATATATATTTTTTTTAATTCATTAACTAGATGGTCCGGTGTACTCCGTATTATCTCTCACCATTCAAGCCTTTCGACTATGACAAACATTTGGCTTCCAAAATCCTATAAATCGTCCCAGCTGATCTTGACTTTTATTGAGACGAACGAACAGCAATTGATTTCTATTTGTATATTATATAAATTGTCCCGCGACATTTCGAGTTGTGACGTCACGTTTCAATAAACACAAGTACTGGTTGCACTTATTAGAACGTTGACGTTTAGTTTATATTGAAATGTTACGTCACACGATGCTTCTTCATGGCCGCCCGCGTTTGGTTTCATTTAATTAATTTATATTAATTTACCATTTCCGTCATATGTAAATTTTTCTTTGGTTATAACTGTCAAGTAACCAAGCACTAACTCGTGCTAATTTTATAAAAAACCAACTATTTGATAGGAGAAATATTTATATTTATATATATCTAAATTATTGTGTTGCATACTATGTTATTGTAAGAGCGGAGATTTTTATTCTTTGTTTAATATTTTAAAAGAAAGTGACTTTCTAAAGTCAGGTTTTTGTTAGTCATTTGTAGATAACACATATAGTTTTTGCCGGTAATTTTCTTTCGCTCGTTTCGCCTAAAATATCCGGTTTGAATAGTAGGTAAAAAACGTTGGACGATTCAAAAGTACTATCAATTTTATTTGAATATATTTTGACGTGATTTCGTCCACTTAAACTATATCCTATTCGCACGTTGAGAATGACAATGTCACTAACCCAAAACGACGTATTTTTTACTTTTGACAACATTTTTCTTTGTTATGTATAAACTTTAAAATTCAAAGATGCCCATTTTATAATATTAGTAATTGTTGAGTACATTTTATTTCTTTAATTTTTTATATTTCAAACGCCAACAATAAAGTATGCTATGTATAATTAATCTTAACACATAGTGTTAACTCTAAACCATTCTACGAAACCTGTATATGATATTAATTAATAACTATTTGTTCACAGAAATGATTGGAAGAATTTCGAGCCCTACACAAACATATTGTGGCTGCATTACACTGTTGATAAAATGATAACAGCCCTCCGTTACAAGAGGACCAATACGAAAATTCACAAGCATTACATTGCTAAACTTAAGGACATTAAGAATAGAATATTAGACTACGGTAGTGTTGCTCAGTTCGTACTCACTGACAACGAATTTTGAACGAACAAATTATGATAAAGTTTTTATAATATAAAGTAAAAAAACAAAATTAATCACATGTAATTTTTGAAGACGTTCTTTCATTAGAATATTTCACAATGGACATGAATATTATTAACAATATTTGCTGTGGTTGTAATAAAAACATTATCTTGACAAATCGTAATATAAATTCTAGTGTTGTATATATGAATGGTTGCTTCAATGAATATGTTAAAGATTTAGACGCTAAAAAGATTATTTACAATATTATTATTGCATTAGAACAGTATCAGCTTAAGGGTGCCTTCATGGACGAGGTAGTGCCTTCATTCAGGTTACTAATAAATTCATATATTGTGTTCAGAAACGTTGTTTTATTTATCTCGTGTAAATCAAATGTTTGAAAATACTTTATGGTGTACAAGATCCTTTTCTCAATGATTTGATTGATGGACAGACTAGTCTAACACCCGGTTTGCGCCATTATAAATGTCAAACGGGTTTTCATTACTGATTTATAATTTTTTAATGATCAGTTGATAGCAATTTGATAATACTAGGACTTTTTGCCATGTGAAACTTAAAAAACTTAGGTTATTAAGAATAATCAGTTCAGATTTTGGAAACCGGCCGTTAGCCTGGAAGCGCCTAATGATTACCTACTTAATTATTTCTGATATGATTTTCTGGGGCATTTATCACCATTTTGTCCCAGGTTGTTCTGCGCCACCTTTAGAAATTAATTCTGAAAACATCTAGTCGTCTATTAATATGTACGTTACCAAATACTGACAAAAAGACGAGAGACGTAGTTTCGGAGATAGCGAGTCTGTGGCGCTGCCGGACTGACATTAGTCTGACAGCGCCACAGTTAGAACTCTGTACATGTAATGAATATAAAAAAAAAATACAGGTCATCTTTTAATCTCTTTATCATCAGCTGCGATAAATATCTAACGTAAATACTTTTTTATATCACTCACTGCAACATCGAGCTCATTTCCCTGTTTCGTCCGTAAGGATTGATAAATAAGACTAAATGAATCAAGAATTCATTTTTAAGTCGAAAAGGTGGCGCTGCTAGTCTGACGTACATGTCCCAGGCTGATAATTTGAAGAGTAAATGCATGTTTTTTTAGAATTATCTATAGAGATTCTTTGGCACTGCCGTTGTTGAGAGCATTGTTAATTTTGAAAATAATTCTCGACCCATGAAGTTGTTTATTTCTTAATACGTTAATAAATTAACAATAAAAATTACTTGTTCTGTTGCCGAAGATAAAAATATAGTTTGTGACGCTGCTGGGCTGATGTCCGCCCAGCAGTGCCACATTTATAGCTCTTGTGTTATGGTATTTATAGTAGGTAAAGAGATATTGCTTGGGCGTTTCTTGCTTTCAAACGTTTCTCGAGCGATCAAATGTCTCGATTTTGTGTTCCATTTTTTGAACCTCAAACTTATCAGAATAGCAGATAACTACTCATCAAGCCGCAAATAAAAAATATATTTCTTACTAAAAGTTATCTTTTTTATTGCAATCGGTTTGACAATTCATATTGACAGAATGTTAAAGTATGATGTAGGTAAATATATAATAAATCATGACGCGACAGCAAAGCAAATGATTTCCGAAAGTAACGGACTGATTACACTTAAACATTTCTCTAAAAATAGAATGATAGCATTATAATATACAATTCCTTTTCGAAAACAAACTAATATCTAAAAATGAATTAAAAGAAATTGCATATTTAATCAGATGCTACATTTTTTAAAAGTAACCATCACAATGAATATAACATAAAATTTAGAGCTTAAAAATTAAATAACAACAATATTCGAAATACTCTACACTTGGTTTTGAATTTGCATATTGTACCGTGCGTATGGACTTCTACCATGACATTATTATCGCTATGCAATTATCATTTTTAAAATGAGATAACAGTACACCTCATGGCGTTGAGAGATCAGCCCATAGATGCACACGTTCTGATTACGCTGGTCACATAATCTTAATTTAGAATGCCCGGATAAACTTCAATCGTGTCTCAGGTTTAATAAATAACCTAACAGCTGTTTTTCCTGCGACTTCACACGCGTAAATACACCTATGTCAACCCCGTAATATGTAGCTACCCGTAGGTGGAAGAATTGGTAATTTTCGTTAATATTGAACAAAAGTAAAAGTAGAAGGTAAAATCGCGAAATGTGACGACCAATCAGTGATTAAAGTATCACGTGATATGGCGATCCGCTCACGTGACCATTGTTGCGTGACACGTGACCGCGTGACCAGTGATTGATTCGGAAAACTAGCGCATTATATTTACACCTTATGATTGTTAAAACAAGACTTTTAATAATTTTTTATCACACGTCCGGACATCTTCGAAATTAGGTCTGGGGTGCGCAAACGTAGATGCACTATGGACGTCATCAGTTTTACTGTATCTCACGTGACGTACAAAAAGTACTTAGAAACCATAAACAATTCAAAACTAAGTGTATTTCTGTAAACGGAATGGCCTATAACACAGATGTATGTAAAAACTTCAAAAGAGTTTTAACAGAATTCTTAAAACACTAAAATAATAGTCAACTTCAGAAAATGTAAAAAGAAAAATAAATGTTAGAAAAAGCTTAATATGTACAAAACGTACTAAAACAATTAGAAAAATGATTATAATGACCAAAATAAAATTATAATATGTCGTTGAATGACTATTTCTGTGATATCTTAGTTGCCATTTACTGAAAAAATTTAAAGAGAAATAAATAGATGGCGGTGTCACTTGTTATTGGAATAAGGCTTTTCGGAGGGTAACATGATCAAAACTTTCAAAGAAAATTCATCTTTAATCCCTACACGAAAGTCATAAAATTATTATACACAGAAAATTTCGTTCACCATCCTATTTTGAAATCTCTACACCAAATAATACTCAAAATTTTTGTTTAATGGCCAAGAATGTATATGAAATTAATAGTCCAATATTATGTTGGAGCTTAATATTGATTCAGTCATAAATTGTATATAATGCCCCCTCTACACATCAGCCAACGTTGTGGCGAATTTCCTGGCAAAGATAGATTGTGATGGCGTTCACATGTTGGAATGCCTTCAGTTTTCTTTGGTGGATCTCGCCCAACTTGTACGCCAACATGTTGGACGAATTTAATCGAAACAATTCTGGCTAATGTATAGAGTAGACATAATTTTGAATAGAAAATGCATAGATACTTATAGTTAAGAATAAATTGAGGTAAATTAACGAATTCTTACAATGTTTTACGGTTTCACTTATATAGTGGAATAAGTAAATGTTTTTAATCCAAAAATTTTACCATTAACACACAATATGAAAATATGCCTATAATAGTTGCTTAATTTCTCGTAGAGCTATCGTTTTCTATGAAAGCGGTGCCGTTCAATGGTTCTAAACTTTTTTATCCACTTTATCCCCAACCGCTTTTTTAAGGCATAGAGCAGTGGTCTATGCGGTAAAAAGAGTCATCACCGCTATTCAGCGAAACGCTAGCTTTACTGCAAGCGCAGCACGATGAACCCAAAAACGCTTTATGCACAACCAATGTCAATTCTCTTGGGTTCGTCCACACGTTATCTCATTCTATACCCGAGAAGTGACATTTAGTTTAGACAAAGCGCTTCTGGAGTTGTGCTACGCTTGCTGGAATGAAATCTTCGTGCATTCCAAGACAACAAGAAGCGAAACACTCAAAACTCGACTTTATTGCACATTCACAACGATAATTTTTTTGAGCATATTAGTAGCCCCCATTTTCCTTTTTAATTAAAAATCACATCTTATAATCTAACTTTTGATTGATGACAAACCACTTCGAAATGAAACATTTTAGGTAAAGAAGCTTTTATCTTTATTCACGGTTTTTTTATTAACCTGCAGCTTTGCTCTTGAACGCAATCTCAATGTCAATTTCAATCCAATTCAATAAAGATCTCAATTTTCATCAAATCTAAGCTCGTACTATTGACACATGAGACTATAATTATTCAATGTCATTTTTAGTTAATTCATTCAATAATCTCGCCATACTGAGCCAATTGCCGCTAGTGTACCAAATCAAAAGTATGAAACGTCACAATTGCAATGTCGATAGCGTTCAAGAGTAAACATGCTGGCATAAAAAAAAACAAACATAGTATGTCAGCATCCACGAGTACTGCCGACGCATGCACTGTTTTTTTTTTAATGGTCAAATGTCGACGTTTTTTTATGCAAATAAATTAAACGTATCTCCTGTGAATAGGAACTGTTAAATGTTACATTATAACAGCTAGAAAGAACAACGTCCAATTGCAGAAACTAAAATAAAAACTTAAAATTGGTTTTAAAACAATGCTGGAATAATTTATATTACTTATCCAACTTAAATTGAAAACTAAGTGTTTGTGTCAACAATAAAGATGATGATAAAAAGCCAGTTTTTATCAGGTAGTAGGTACAATATTGAAAAAATATTAAATACGTATTTTTTTTGGGTAATTATTGAATTGAGGCGATATATTGAGTTGAAATTTTACATGACGTCACAAGTTTTGTAGATTTTCTACCCCCCATTTTCCTCACTGTTACCTATTATCAAAGTAATTCCTTGTAAACTTGAAGCAAACAAAAAGTATTTAATATTTTTCAATTATTTGACTGATGGACTAAATAGAATTTCTTTTTTTCCAAACATCATCTCTATTGTTAATTATGTGAAGTAGAGATTCCCAAAATGGTCCATATCACCCCGTTGGGGTCGAAATACCGATTTTGGAGGTCAACATGTACTAAAAATCGATCCCTAATAATTAAAATCTTATTTAAATTCTCAAGAAACTGTATTAGGCAGTTTCTGTGTATGTCTGTGCCTATTTATGCTATGCCACAAAGTTGTTTAATTGGTAAATATCTTGTATTAATAGAAAAGAGAATCTAGAGATCTTTTAAAGTAATTTGGTTATAGGCGTCTGATTAATTCTAATTGTAAAATGGTTCTCGTGCCCAAACAGTTTGGGAATCCCTGGGGAAAACACAGAAGTTTGAATTTTTGCAATAAGCCACTTTATGCGACATTTTATATTATCAAAAACATTTTCACTTTCAGGTTAAAGCCTTTCCGCAACTTATAATTACAATACAATAAACACCAAATATTATATTAAAATATCCTAAAATGGTCTGACACTGGAGCCATACCAAAAACATAACCAAACGGTTTGTAGGTATAACAAAACAGACTGCAATAAAAACTTAAAAAAAGGTAATTTAGCCATATTATATTTATAAAAAATCCTAAAAGCTAAAGAGCATAATGGATTATAATAACGCAGTAAAAAAATAAGGCTTCAGACTGATATTGAAACAGTTGTTATTGTATTAGACCAAGTTTATATGGGGAATTATATGCACCGACATGATGCGTAACCAACGTGGTAACCTCATAGAAAATGAGTACGCACTCGTGACGCGACTACCGCCTTAGCCTTTAATGGTGAGTCACCAAACAGAGAGAATTTTGTACGTTGAACTTTGTGCTAGATGCATTGATTAAAATAACAAGATTGGCTTGATGTATAATGCCGGATCATTATACGAAACTCCTGTTCGGCGACCTGACTGCAAAGAGGTCCAGCCTCGTTTAAACGTCTAGCATGCGATTGCCGCAAGACCACAGAGGATTATTACAGTGATTAGACTTCCTATGAATCGACACGGATACTACACAGCTAGCACACGGCCCCGAGCGGCGGTTGCAAGAGTTTTAGGGCTCGTGTAAACACAGCTTTAGTGAGATGTCATACGGCATGTTGTTATAGGTAGGGGCGAATTTAAATAACCTCGCAGACTCGCGTCGGAGAAGCGAGATATGCAGTAATGCATTTCAATCATTAAAAAATGCTCTTCAACAATTTTAAACGACCAAAGAGCATAGAACTTGTGAATGTAAAGATTAGCACTCACTGATTTATATTAACTCTTCTGTTATATATACATATAACAAGTTTTGTAAACATTGACATGATAATAACATTGTTTACGTAAATTTCATTACTTCTGCTAAAAGCTAACATGTTTCTTGCACCCTTTCCGCTTATCAGCCAAAAGATGCCTACTGGTTGTAGGCAAGAAATGTTGGATGAGCTAAAGCTTAGAATAAAGTATACTCTGATTTTGAAAGAATAAAAATATACTGTAATAATAAAAGAAAAAACCTACACAAATTAAACTTAATAATTAATGATAATAGCCCTAAAAGGATATTAATACATTATAACAATGTACAGATTCAACAAATACTACTACACTTTGGTATGGTTCCAGACAAAATTTGTGCAGATGATCAAGTCCCTATAATATCACATGAATTTTATAATAAATTCGGCTGTATACCTTAAAATCACAAGTGTCTAAGAGAACACATCAATAGGTCGTGGTGACATAGTATCCAAGTTCGCGTGAGTAGGACTACCGAGTGGATCTCGAGATTCGTTCCTTTTTGCTTCAACGGTAGCTTGTTTCACAGCCTCTATGTATATACCCCTCTTTTTCTTATTAAATCGTATCTAAAATATAAAAAAAATATATATCAATATTATACAACATTACATACATTGCTTAGATTCCAAGATGAGTAGCTAAAGTGCCCGTATTATGGAGTATCTGAGACAACGAAGGTACCACAACATGCAGACCCGAGACAATATAGAAAAGTCCGTTTTCTACAATTAATCCAACCGAGAATCGAACGGCGTTCGAATCACTCAGCTACGGAGGTAGCCATATTTATATTGGCCATATGATGTTTAAGTTTTTGCATATAATAATTTATAGAAAACTAGCTTCCACCAGCGGTATTCGCCCGCATGGTCCCTAGGGAACTGTTTAGTGGTATAAAAAGTAGTCTATATGTTAATCCAGACTTAGAATTATCCGTATACTAAATTTCACGAAAATTTATTCAGTAGTTTTTGCGTGAAAGGGTAACAAACACACCCATCCTTACAAATTTTCGCATTTATAATATTAGTAGGACATTACAAATAAAACTGCGGACTCGGACTTGCGTACGAAATGTTCGGTACTGTTAAAAATTAAAAAAAAAACGTAGTCTCTTTATGTATTTATTTTATTCTATTTTTAGTATTTGTTGATATTGCAACAACAGAAATACATCATCTAAAAATTTAAATTGTTTGACAGACATATGGGCAGCCGAGTCTTAGTCTTATATGTTTGTTTCCACTCTTTGGACATGGAACCCTAAAAACGGTACATAGAAATCATAAAAATATAACTAACCTAACCTTGCGTTCATAACGAATGTTTAGACAAACGCGGTATTTAGAGCTATTTCGAAAGTTGGCCTACTGTAAGATTTTATGCTGTGATAATGCTATAAAAGTGACCAAATGAACAAAACACAGAATAATGGTGAAAAACTACCTTATGACAAATATAAAAACAATAATACAGAGTCCAATTCTATGAGTCAGACTTTTTTACAAACATGTTTCTACAAATAAAAAGAATAATTTAAAACTATTTTTTAAAATACCCTATTGTAAAAGTTTGTTTTACTTCAAAATAAAACAGTTTGAGACACATTAGGTCATAATAGATACCACGCATATCTCTCTTGGCTGCATTTTTGCCAATGTGATTTTAATATTAATATATATATTGAATAGATAGAAATTGAATATTATTTCTTAATTAAAATTGAAATCATCTTTATCCTAGTTTAGTTGTTATGGTTTGTTGTTTTTATTATTTTACCATAGATATAGATCATTATTTTGTGTTTTTTCAATTTGTGGAACAATTAAAACAATGTGGTAAGAATGCACATACTCTGGAACTACATCAGTTCTTAATTAATTAAACTATGTATTATGTTTACTTTATGTTAATGAGGGATGCAAATGACGGAAGAAAGTATGAATGTTGATAATTAACATACCTTATAGTCTTCTAAAAATGGACTTAAACTATCACATGGCATCAGAGAAGTAGTTGTAGAAGCAAACCACGCTATGTGAGCTCGTGATGTGGATGTGACACTCAGAACTCTTCCTGGCCACCACGGAAACCCTGTCACCTTTCCCCAAACAATATCACCAGAAGATACTCTTATTAGTCGCTCTCCAACACTCTCAGGTCCATTCTCAGGAAAATCTGGCACAACTTCAATATCACCGTCTTCCGAACTACTCTCCTGCTCATTACGTCTTTCATAAGAGTTGCTGCTCAACCTTCTCAAGCTAATTGATAATTTTTGATTCAAACAATGGTCTTTGATGTCACTAAAATAATCCATAGATTCATTATCACCACATTTACTTGTATTTTCATCACGTTTTTTCTGCGCTTTACCTTTCTTTTTATGTTTCACTTTGTGTTTATGTTTCTTTTCTAACGGATCTATAGTTGATTGATTATGGACATTATTTCTTGGTGAAAGAGCTCCTAAATGCTTTGGTGACTGACTTGTCCATACATCTAATTTATCTTTCCCTATTGTATCCTTCTTAGCTTGCTTCTTAGCCTTTTTCATAGCCTTCTTAGCAGCTTTCACATCTGGTTTTAATGCTTTAGTCATATCGCAACTAACACCAGAATCTTCATTGTAATCACCACTCAATGGTGGTATTTTGACAACAGTACCTTCTCCTTCCCCAAAACAGATTTTCAGAGTACGAGCACTCGAAAACATGGAACTAAATGGTGCATCATTGTCGTTGTTATCTTTAGAGTTTTGTCTATCTTCAAAAACATCACCTTCAGGGACGCTCACAAAGGTCAACTCTCTTGTTCCTTTGTCACTATCAACCAATTTTTCCATTTTAACTTTACTATTGGACTTTTCAGTGTTTTTACTAGAATTTTTTGAACTACCTTTTATAGCATTTGAAATTTCATTTGGATGTAACCGAGACAGTTTAGGAATGAGCATGCCACCAACAAGGTATTTTTTTTCACTGAATGTATCGTCGACATTTTCAATCATGTTGTCGTCAGAATCTAATTTACGTTTCTTGGACACGTCCACATTTTCGCTATTTTCGTTGCATATCCCCTTGCAATTTGAACATAAAACCTTCCGAGGTCGGAGCCGCACTGTCATCTTTTGCCTTTGTTGAGCTTTGCCCTTGGGTCCAACTTTTTTCGATTTCTGATCCTTTTCACTTGCGTATTGAGGCTCTTGATATGTGAATCTTTGACTAACAGAATGTAATTTATCTTGGTCATTTTTAGGAACTACCGGCTGTTTACTGAACGCCGGGTGTAGACTGTATACCCCGAAAGGTAAGTTACTGTAAAATGTGTGTAAATTAGATTAAAATATAATAAAATTCCAGATTCCAATCGATAGACTCCTTTTGATATAAGATTATACCTACCCTTTAGTAGAGTCCAAAAGAACACCTTGAAATTTTTTATTTTCACTACTATATGAAACAACAATTAAATCTGATAATGCTTCTTCTACTTTAACTAAAATCTTTGAATCCTTTTGAATCGTCATATCGGCTGTTTCTGCGACAGCCGCCATATTTTCACTAAAAAATTATAAAGTAAATCATTACTTAAATATACCAGTGACGTAACTGATACACGGGCCCATATCAGTGATAATTATTCTTATACAGTTTTCTATGAATATTTATCAACTTTGTTTTATTTTCTTTCTTTTTGTCAAAGCCTTATTATATCCATACTTAATAGATTATGGTAAGCACCATCGGGACTTCTTAACACGGTGCCAAAAGCGTTTGGTATTTAAATTGAAGTGTCACTGTTTAATATATCCATATACAGACATCTTTTGTATTATCTACCACAATTTCAAGTTTAAGTTGAAAAATTCACACTTAACGTGACAATTTGTTTTTTGTATCAAAACGGGACGTCGGTTATTTTTAGGAAGAAAGGGGTGGGGTATAATAAATCATGAATGGTTCCTTTCTACCCGGCACATAAAGTTTTAAATAACCCCAAAGTAATTGGGAAACAAATAAGTGATGTTCGCATGTATATTTGATGCAGTGTTGTCGTATCTCCTATTGTGCGTTCAACAAAATTTTCTCACCATTAATGTCCCCACTGCTGGCTCGTTAATGTGCCCGATGAAGCATGTCGAAGCTGGAGATAATAAATATTTGATCATCTATCCTAAGAGTACTTAATTTTTGAATTTTTGCTTGCTCTGTGTAAATCAGCCTTTACAACTTTGGTTATAAAGGATAGAAAATCAAAAATAGTTAATTTTCGATATTTCGATATAAGGTGAGATGAGACGTGAACGCAAATATGAATCCTAATAGTTTGATGTAGCGTCGAAAGTAATCGTGTATAGAAATATAAGGTGGATCACGGATTTAGGAAATTATAATGGGTGCCACCTAGTATTATAAAATATCTAGTAGATGGAACTATTCTAGTAAATCGCCTCACCTCTAATTGACATCGAACGTCAATGTCAGTCAAGTCAATACGAATTTCGGAATTTATTTTACAGAATTCCTTTGTAGTGTTCGAGTAAATATTATTTTTGTATCTAATTATTGTGTTGTACTATTATTTCGCAAAGTTCACTGTTTCAGCGAGTGAGTACTACATGTTATAAAATATTTATATGATTGCTTATTGACATGATCAGTAAATTATTTTATGTACTAATAGCTAACGTAATCTAACATTTTATCTATATAAAATAAATCAGCATAGAGCTTTCCTCTATGTATTCATTACTTTCTTTATTAGTTGTATCTGAGTGTTAAATATTAATATACTTCGAGTTTGCGTAAAGTTTCTTCTTCGAAATGAAGGTCATTTACTTATCCAAACAAAAATTACTGCCTTGCCGGTTGGTTACACTGTATGTACATATCTTAACGATATATTTTTCGAACACTATAATATTGTTAAGTAATAATAATTTATATGACTGAATTTCTGTAGTTTGAATCAAGTTTGGTTAGGTAGTCTGTATCCATCACTAAGTTGATGACCTTGCTTTTAACAAAACAGTTTGAATATTTTCTGTATGTTGTAAATATTTTTTTAGCCAGTTCTTATGTGGACCCAAATAATTTTTATCAATCCAATCTTATTATAATCCTATAAAAAGATTGTTTGATTTCTTTTTGCATTAATGTTTGTAAGATAAATTCTTATTTCCATTAGGTAAATTGTTTTATTGAAGAAAGTTTTAATATTTTTTTTGCTGAGAATCTACATAGATATTGAGAAACAACTAATTTAAGATTTTTTTTTAAATTATATATTAACTTACAATTTTAAACTGTTTTAATTTAGTCCTGCAAAACAGCGGGAAGAATTAGAATATAAAGAAAGCAAACCTTTTAAAAGTGAAAAATCTTTCTGAGATCTTTTATGTACATAAATTTTGCTGATATATGTGATTGGAAGAAAACAGATCTCTTACTTTTATTAGGTATTTATAATATTAACAAAGGAATTAAATAAGGAATATTGGTTTTAAACTTGCTTTTTAGTAATGTAGTGAGGTTGTAACACAGTTCATGGTATTACTTATAGCATTACGAGTATAAGTGTAACTTTTTCCATATGTGCATTATGTGATAATTTTCGTTTCTTAATAGATTATAGAAATATTTGTTCTAGCTAATTTTGTTTAATTAAATGGCATTATGTATGCTTAAATTTTTTTTAGAATATGTCGAGGATAGATATCACTCAACCCCTTTGGGATCAAAGCACATTTTATGGCAGATTCCGCCATTTTGCATTTATATCCAACCCACTGCTATCTCTGGTACCTGAAAAGCAGTTGTATGAAGCTAAAGATCTCTATCTAAAATATAAGTGAGTACTTTTTATTCATATATCACAATCCTATGTATAAAAGCCAAGTAGCAAATGTACTCCATAGTCCTATAAAAATTTTTGTTAGTGAAGTCGTATGGGCTGATAATAGAATGTAATGTTTCTTTCAAAAATATTGTCTGTTGTGATATTGATCTATAAAAAAAAAACATTTTATATTTAAAAATTTTTTTTTTTTTTACATATTTATAATGTTTGCACAAATTTTGAACTTGAGGCTACCCCAAGAATATGACACTCATCCATTTGATAACTATCATCACTGTAATTCGTCCATAAATCGGTTTCAATAATTTGTTTTGTTAATCTAAGGGCAGGTCAGGAACCAAAAGATACGACAATGGATCAAGTGGTACGAGCTAAACAGTTATACGAGTCAGCCTTCCACCCTGATAGTGGGGAACTGCAGAATGTGTTCGGCAGGATGTCGTTCCAAATGCCTGGCGGGTGTCTTATTACGGGTGCTATGCTACAGTGGTACAGGTAAGAGCATAACCTATAACTGAGAATTAGTGCAATATGAATCAAGAAATAACATTTTTGATACTATTTATCTGCTACCAGTACCTATACTAGTTTGGTAGACAAACCAAACTAACTTGGGTCTTGGGAGCAAAGAAATGGAGTTATTTGCATTTTTGAATAAATATTGCATGTTATAAGTATTTTGTTACTATAAAACATATGTCATATAAAAGGTTAATAACCTTTTAATAGCTCGAGTAGCTCGGTGGCGTAGTGGATAAGCGCCGCGGCCTGCGATTGTTGTCGTTAAGCCACTTTCGCAAGGGTCGGTCACGGGATGGGTGACCAAAAAATTATTATCTCGTGCTACTCCGTGCTTCGTAAGGCACGTTAAGCCGTTAGACCCGGCTGCATTTGCAGTCGTTAATACCCTCCAATCCGTATTGTGCCAGCGTGTAGGGTCATGGCCCATCTTCCTTAACCATCCATAAGGAAGGCCTTCCTTAAGGAAGGAAGTGGGGACTTAAAAGGGCTGATGATGATGATGAACCTTTTAAAAGATTAAATTATTCTTTTATAAATTGATTAGGTAAAGTTTTTTACAAAGTCGAAATATACAAAATATGTAAAAAAAAATACATACAAAAATATTCATCAATAATAGCTGGTATTACCTCCCCGTGCTCTAATGCATGAACGCAATCGGTTATTCATTGATCGGATCAGCGTCACGATAACATGTTCTCCCATTCATCAAGAATTGCACTTCTGAGCTCAGGAATAGACGAAACTGCAGGAACTCTGGCTCGAACTCTTCGTTTAGGTTCGTCCCATAGGTGCTCAATCGGATTTAAGTTTGGGCTTCGTGATGGCTATGCTATTTGTTGTACACCAACTGCCGATAAGTACTCAGTAATGATTCTTGCACTGTGAGGTCTTGCATGGTCATGCATAAATATGAAATTTTCGCCAATAAAACCAGCATACGACACAACATGGCATTCAAGAATGTCCGTTATGTATCTGTAAGCTGTCAGACCACGCCTACCATTTCCTTCATCGGCGGGGTCGACGAAGACAAGTTCTGTTTTACCTTCTAGGGAAATTCCTCTCCACACCATAAAAGAACCTCCTCCAAAACATACAGTTTCTCGGATACAGCATTGAGGAAATTGTTCACCAGGACGTCTGTACACCCTCTCCCTTCCGTTTTTACTAAGAGACAGATTCTGGTTTCATCAGAAAACAAAACGGACCTCCATTCTTCTAATGTCCAATTAATGTGTTCTCGAACAAACTCTAAACGATGTCGGCGATTAGCTACCGTTAATTTCGGGCCAGTTGCAGGTTTGTGTGATGTCAAATTTCGTTCCCTGAGTCTTCATCTCACTGTCCACCGACTGACTTCAACTCCTTGCACGTCACGTAGCTGTTGCTGGAGCTGAATAGCGTTGAGACCACGGTTGCTTAAAGAAGTGGTTGCAATAAATCGGTCGACTCGTACTATAGTGGCTCGTGGTCTACCAGTTCCATGTCTGCGATCAAAACTACCAGTCTCTAGGCACCTCTTGTACACTTTTTGTACCCTTGAACGACTTAAATGAAATCTGCGAGCCACTTTCGGTCTGCAAACAAAATTCCCATTCTCTAGGTTAAAGAACCCTCTAAAACTTTTATAAAAATGATTAGCATTGGGATAAAATACCCTCATTTTAAAGGTAATTAAATAAATTTTCATATAGCATATGTTGTCAATTAATAAAATTCTTGTAACAGAAAATGAAATGAAAAATCTGTAGTGGCTCCATTTATTTGGTCTCAAGTGTAGTATAGGTACCGGTAGCAGAGAAACAATGTTGGTGGTTTTCGTAGCGGCCAGATATTGAATGTTTTATATACCATAATGATTCAACTTCAAAACTAGACATGTGTTTTATTGACATTGTTTGATGAAACAGAGTCGTACAATTGGTACAGTCAACAATACAAATTTAATCTATGGATTTTATGTACTACTGTGTTTCTAGTAGAGCTCGTAATCGATTGTGGGAAGACCTAATGTCTAGCTGTGCGTATATTATCTGGCAAGACTCTCTGAGAAATAATTTTGCTGTCATTACATCTAAAAATATCTATTCAGCGATGCTTTTCTTTGTATGTAAATAGTTCAAGGTTTTGTTAACGACGTGTGTTTGAGACACACCTCTTTTTACACCTTGATCACGT